TATAATATATACTATAGTACTCCTAGAAAATTTAACAGTAAAATCCTTTTTCTGCTTTTTAGAATTACTGAAAAGAAATGCCATAACTCTCTTAAAATTAAACAAGGGAATTCAGTATGTTTTGATGACAGCCTATAAAAATAATTACAAGAAGTTAGATGGGGGCTGGGCATGCCTTTAATCCCAGCACTCCAGAGGCAGAGAATATATACTATAGTACTCCTAGAAAATTTAACAGTAAAATCCTTTTTCTGCTTTTTAGAATTACTGAAAAGAAATGCCATAACTCTCTTAAAATTAAACAAGGGAATTCAGTATGTTTTGATGACAGCCTATAAAAATAATTACAAGAAGTTAGATGGGGGCTGGGCATGCCTTTAATCCCAGCACTCCAGAGGCAGAGGCAGGCAAATACCTATGAGACTGAGACCAGCCTGGTCTACATAGCGAGTTCTAGGGCAGCCAGTAGTACATGGAGAGACCCCGTCAAAAACAAAAAAGAGGAGGAGGAGGAGAAAAAGGAAGGAAGGAATGGTGGGGGGGAGGGAGGGAGGGAGGAAGGTGGGAGAGAGAGAGAGAAAGACAGAAAGTAAGTTAGTTGGCAGGGGAGGCGGGGGAGCAGGAAGGGGAAAGAAAAAGTAAAATCTCTATTTCACACACTGTAAGACCTTTTTTGAAGGGCAATCGCTGGTAAAGATAGCAAACATTTAACTAGACCCAAAGGTTATGAGAGCAGGTAAAAGTTTCAAGCTCAAAATATGAAAAACATGTATTTTATCTGGGAGAGCAGACTGAGCATTAAAAACAATAATACGTGCTAGAAAGGAATAACAAACTTTAAAAGGGTTTCATCCAAACCAAACAAAACAAAAATATTGAATTACAGGCCAAATGAGATGATAGTACTTGCAGTGTGACTATCAGAGTAGTTTCTATATACTCAACACAAGATTCAGGCCTGCTTACCCCACCCTACAAAATGCAGAGTAAGATGCAGGCGCCAAGAAGTCTGCCTGCTTACTTAGATACCTTTGTTCATTTCCTTTTTATTTATACTCATTTTTATTTTATGTGTATGAGTGTTATGTGCCCACAAAGGACAGAGAGGGCATTGGAACCCCTGGAACTGGAGTTACAGATGGTTGTTAGCTGCCACGTGGATGCTAGAATTCAAACCTGGGTTTTCTGCAAGAACAGCCAGCGATCTTAACTGCTGAGCCATCTCTCCAGCCCCTTATGTACATTTCTTAAAGACTCAATGCAAAAATATTTTGCAATGTAAAATACTGTACCACCAAGCCCGGTTAATAAAAGTTTCTTAAAACAGACTTTTGCAATCATTTTAAATATCCAGAGTATCTTAGGTAAAAAGATTATAATGTATCAAACGTTTTTCTTTTGAACAATTAGTCAAGATAACTGTATTTAGAACATCCACACATAATAACTGTATCATTTCTTACCAGAACTTTACTCCTGGTAAAGAAAGAGGCAAAGAGAACATCTTAGATAGACTTGAGAAGGAAGGAAGTCTCATCCCTCCTATTAAAAGGATTATTACATGCAACCTAATAGGCAACAAAGAAAGTACACTGATTTCCTAACAGGCTCCTTGCTGTATTCTAACGAACAGTAGTTCGTTACTAAGTAACAGATGATGAAATAGTATTTTGAGGCATATGAATGAAGATAGCCATATGATCACAAAATTTTAAAGGCCTTTCTAAAATGCTAATGACTGAATTCATAAAGACATAAATGCATACAGATGAAGAGTCTGGGAAGGAGGCACCAGCAAACACGAAACCAAAACCAATTGTGGGAGGTCAGAAAGCAGATTAAATGATAAAAGCAGCTCAGAGAAAGAACAGCTCAGAGTTCAATGCAAGGAAGCTATAGCCAATAAGGAAGTTATTCTGTCCTAGAAAGCCCTCGAAATAGGATTATTAATGGCTAGGGAAAACGAAATCAGAAATAGGACAATTAACTCGAAGTCTACCGCAATCCCTCCTTGACCCCACCCCACAGTATGCCACACAAAGCCAGGGGATGTCTCCAGGCAACTGAATGCCAGCAAAGCTCCAGGGTTAATAAGACCTCCACCCTCTCTGCCCTCTACCCCTTCCCCAAAAGGCAATTACACACCTATCATCCTAAAGGCCTGGTAGACAGACAGCTTCTAATACCTCACTACCAGATCCTTAAGTGTGAACAGGTACGAAGGAGCAACAGACAGTTGAAGAGCATACAATATGAATGAGAAAAGAGAAAGTAAGCAAAAACAAAGCGCAGAAGTCATGGGGAAATAGAAGGGAACTTAAGACTCCTCATTCTATGGGCTGGAGATAGAGATGGTTAAGAGCACTAGCTGCTCTTGAAAAGGACAGGTTCGGTTCCCAGCACCTACATGGTGGCTAATAATGCCCTGCAACGCCAGGGGATCCAATGCCCTCTTGCCTCCTCAGGCATTGCATACACATGGTACACATACATACATGCAGGTAAAACACAACTGGCCTAGAACTTGCTATGTAGACCAGGCTGGCCTTAATTTCACAGATATCTATCTCTGCCTCCCCAGTGCTGGGATTAAAGACATGTGCCACCAAGCCTGGCTTAATAAAAGTTTCTTAAAACAGACTTTTGCAATAATTTTAAATATCCAGAGTATCTTAGGTAAAAAGACTATAAAAATCTTATATAGGGGCTGGAAAGATGGCTCAGCAGTTAAGAGCACTTGTGGCCCTTGCAGAGAACCTGGGTTTGGTTCCTAGCACACATATTACAGCTAACAACTGTTGGCAACTCCAGTTCCAGGGGATCTGATGCCCTATTCTGGCCTATATGGGAATGTATACATATAGTGCACTTACATACATTCAGGAAAAACACTCATATACATAAAATAATTTTTAATCTTATATAGATCACAAATAATTTTATAGAATACTAGTTATGCATACCTAAGATATGAGTAAAAGAAACAGCCCAGATTTTGATTTGGCAGTCCTGACCACATGAAGCCAATCGGTAAAACTGAAGACCTTGTTCTCCACCTAAAACAGATGAGATAAACATAGATAAATAGAATTGATAAAGCATTTAAACCAAAAAGCTTTAATTATACTGAAATCTGTTCATGCAACTCATTTAAGTCAAATAATATAAACAGTATTTGTCAACTAATACCATCTAATAAAATACTGGTTAAAGAATTTCTTCTAAACAAGGTATCATATAGGACTATAACTTTTGCCTAAATTTGCTGTAAAAAAAGAGGCCTACAACCAATATTTAGCCACTAAAGTAGAGCATCTTCCAACTGAACTGGAGCGGTTATGAAGCTATCATTAATGCAAAAAATTAAAAGTCAGTTTTTTAAAAATGTGAAATGGCTAATCATTGCCAACCTATCTTCTGAAATATTAAGTTCTTAAAAGCCTGCTCTTTAATGCACACAGAATAACAGTGGGAATTTGTTTTCCATTTGATTTGATCAAGAAAAAAGATAGGGGGCTAGAGAGATGGCTCAGTGTTTAAGAGCACTTGAGTCTCTTGCAGAGGATTTTGTTGGTTCCCAGCACCCACATGGCAGCTCACAACTGTCTGTAACTCCATTTCCCATGGGATCCAATGCCCTCCTCTGGCCTCCTCAGGTACCAGACACACATATGATACACATACATGTATACAGGCAAAACATTCATAAATGAAAATAAATCTTTAAAGAGAGGGAGAGGAGAGGGAGGGGGGAGAGGGAGAAAAGGAGGGAGGGGAGGAGGGAGGGAGAGAGAGAGAAAGAGGAACTAGAATTAGATAAATGTAAAATAGTATCAATTCAGATGACTTGGAGGAAAGTATTACACAATTTAGGAAAATTAATAAAATAAAGTAGCCATCTTAGAAGCCACCAGCTAATGTTTTCTTAGAGAATTTCAGAATGTCATTATATATCTACTGGCCTAAGTTCCCAAATGCTTGGCACTAAAATATATATTGATATCATCAGTTCGATCTCTTCTACAACTTCCACCTAATATCAGTGATGCAATTTCATCAGTGGTGGTTCTTGGCATTCATATGCATAATTAAACCTACTAACCATCTTGAGTATACTCTAGCTTTTACAAACATTCATTATATAGTATTTGATTTATATACTTGGGTACATAAAGTAAATTTTTCCTACAGTCCATCTTACTGAAAGCACATGCACCTTATTAATACACAATAAATTTTCTTCTACTCTAAAGGGAGTTTTTCTGGCTCCATGAGACATCCAGATTCCAAAGGCATTTTGGTTTATGCAAAACAAGTTCAAAGTGTAACCTTTCTTAGAGACCTTGAGGAACATGAGGAATTCCTGATAATCTCAGTCTTAACTTTGTTTCAATTTATGACTGTGAATAAATATTTAAGTAGTAGACCTATTTAGAATTTTTTTTGGTTTGTTTCTTGACTAATATAGATCCTTTGGAGTTAATTCTGAAGTTATTTTAAGCAGTTGAGAATTCAAGCTGGAACGATGTACCTAGACTTAAAATCTAAATGTTAATATTTAGGGATATATTTTCTTCAGGAAAATTATTCAAACTGCAATAATCTAACTCAAGATTTCTTTTTTTTATTCATTATGTGTACGAGTATATTGTCTACATATATGTGGGTGCACCTATGTCATGCAATACCCACAGAGGCCAGAAGAGGGCAAGAGATCCCCTGGAACTGGAGTTAAGGCTGGTTGTTAGCTCCCATGTGAATGCTGGGAACCAAACCCAGGTCTTCTGCAAGAGCTGCCAGTGCTCTTAACCAATGAGCCATCTCTCCAGCCCAAGCTTCCTTTACTATTTAAACACTGGAGAGGTTATTTATTCTCAGGCACAAAGGGGACTGATTTTCCTCATTTGAGCAAGATCACAAAACAGAACAGTCAATACATTTTCCAAGTACTGACAGATATTAGCAAATACCAAATTAAACATATTTTATCTTCTAAGTATAGTAGTTTGTACAGATTCCCATAATAATTACTTTTATCTATTTGGGGATATTTACATGTAAGGTTAGTATCTATTTCAACAGAAGGACTAAAGAAAGGTCACAGATTAAAAAGATACTAAGAGAAGTGTACACTTGGCTGTACTATAGTGGTCAGGTGGGGATGCAAGTATCACCCTACAACTCCTGCCTGGTTTACAGACCTTCCCTCACCCCACAAGCTGACAATTATTTAACCTCAATTACCTAATATAGTATTATTTTCAGATCATTCCATATCACAAAAAGCAACCTAAATCCCTCCATATTTATACAATTCATCAATGATTCATTGAGTGCCTAAATGATGTAGAGAAAGTATCACAAAAATGGAAGAAATGGTTCTAGTCTGTTATAAACCATTGTTTTAAGAATAATAGCATAAAACAATTAAAATAGTAAAATGCTTAATTCAAGCACGTAGAGAATTTAATAGAAGAATGGGTTCATGAAAACAAACCTATTCATCTGATACCTGATGCCAAAAGGTTATAAAATAAAGGATTACAGCTAGGGGGCTGAAGAAATGGCTCAGCGGGTTCAATTCCTAGCACCCACATGGTAGCTAACAACTATCCGTTAATTCCAGTTCCAGGGGAATCCAACACACATGCAGGCAGTACACTCGTACACATAAAATAAAAATAATAAAATATTTTTTACAAAGATTTCAGCTAGTCACTAAAAGAAATCCTGAGGGGTCTGTATCTGAATGCCTGGTGTCTATCTGGATAAAGGCATGCAGGGAAAGCACCTGAAAAGCATCTTTAACACAGTCAAGGAATGGAGGAGGCCAGTGTGGCAAGAGAATATGCCAGGCCAAGAATGGTTTTTGATCAGGGTGAAATGCAGCATGCAAGGCACTTATAGACTTTGCTTTGAGATTTGGGATTTGATCTTCACTGTATGCTGAGCCAGAGGGCTTTGAAACAGGAAATGCCAAAGCTATCCTGTCAACTTTCAGGGCCAATGTTATTCAATAGTATAACTAGCCACATGTGGGTACTGAACCCTTATGATAACATTCCAGACTTCAAAGGCTTAGTACAAGAAAAGGGAAAATATTTTGTTAATTTGTATTTTCATTCAAATAGCATTGCAAATAATGGTCTGAAATATACATGTATCCACTAGAAAAGATTACTTTACTTATGTGGCTCTTCTATTGCCACTAATAGCTCTGGTGACAAAACTAGAGAGGATAAAGCTAGGTGTGGCACATGCCTTCAAACCAAGCACTCGGGAAGCAAAGGCAGATGGATCTCTCTGAGATGGAGGACAGCCTGATCTATATAGCAAGTTTCAGACCAGCTGGGGCTACTGGGAAACCCTGCCTCAAAAAACAAGAAACAGGGGCTGGAGAGATGGCTCAGCAGTTAAGAGCACTGACTGCTCTTGCAGAGGACCCGGGTTCAGTTCCCAGCACCCACATGGTGGCTAAGAATCATACTTAACTCCAGTTTCAGGGGAATCCGAAGCCGTCTTCTGACCTCTGTGGCACTGCACAACATGGGTGCACTTACATACATGCAAGCAATACACTCATACACATAAAATAAAAATAATAAAACATTTTTTTAAAAAAAACAAGAAACAAATAAAAAAGCTGCCCACCCCCAACAAATTAGAGAGGACAAAGGAAAATTTCCACTGCAACACAGGCAATGAAATTAAAAAGAATTACTTTCCAATTCAGTGCATCTATTTAAAACCAAGAGCTTATAGTCAGGAGTTGCTGTTTCATATTTTTTAAAAAGCTATTATGTTGTCACCGGGCATTGTGGTGCACCCCTTTAGACCCAGCACTCGGGAGGCACAGGGAGGCAGATCTCTGTGAGTCGGGGCCAGCCTGGTCTACATAGTGAGTTCCAGGTCAGCTGGAGCTACTGGGATACCATGTCTCAAAAAGACCAAAAAAAAAAAAAAAAAAAGTCATTATGTTGTCAAACATCTTCAAGCTTCTGTTTCCAACTTAATGTGTATACATACTTGTGTGTGCACAAATGTGTGCACACGTGTATGGGTAGAGGCCAGAGGTCAGCATGAAGTATCCTCAACTGCTTTCCACATTTTTTGAGACAAAGTCTCTCAAGGAACCTGACCTTGCTGGTTTGGCTAGGCCCCCAGAGAGCCTTCTGTCCCTGCCTCCCCAGGGACATGCTTACACAGCAAGCCCTTCATCAACTGAACCATCTTCCTAGCCCATTTCCAACTTTTAAACTTCATGTTTCTATTTGAATTTCAATAGTATATCTTCAAACAACAATAAAAGCATACAGTTAAGTCTGCTCAAATTCCAATATTCAAAGAATCTATTGTACCAAGTTGAACTATCTTGTGCATACTAAAAGAAGGTAATCTTCTCATATAATATTTCTTCATGATTTCTTTTTGATCTAAAAAGATAGAGAAAAGATGATTTCTTAAAAGGAAAGGAGAGGCCCTCAGATTACTACTAATAAAATGAAAATCAAAGGACAAAGTCCTACAAACAGGAGGGCTGAAGAAATGGCTCAGCAGTAAAGAGCACTGGCTGCTCTTGCAGAGGACCCAGGTTCTGGCACATGGCAGCTAACAACCATCTATAACTCCAGTTCCAGGGGATCTGATGCCCTCTTCTGGTCTCCACAGGAATTGCACATACATGGTGCACTTGCATGCATGCACACAAAACACTCAAACACATAAAATAAAAATAAATAAATAATAAACAGGAATCTCTAGTGCTTAAGAGTAAGATAACTAACCAGAAAGTGGCTGTGAGGAAAAATCACAGCAGGTAATCCCAAGGTCATGTGCTTTTTCACTATGCAGACACCTCATTTTATCGTCCCACACTGTTAAATCTCCACATGAGGAGCCAGTAACAAAGAGGCCTCCATTAGGAGAAAATGCACAGGCCACCAAGGAGCCATCCTTAACACTACCACACCTGAAACAAAAGGAAAACAGAAGGATGTAAGGGTCAAAGAGCCTTTTACTTTGTATTACAATCTCCAACAGTAGCTTGATACACTTAAAGGGGGGGTAGAGGGGTGGGGGGGTGGCTATAACACAACCAGAATGGGCAACTGATGCCTATAGAAATAAAGTATTATATCGTACAAACTGACATGTTTTTAAAATAAAGGGAGAATTTGCGTATCATAACTAATACCCACAAGCGTGGATTACAGGGATCAGAAGTCCACATAACTTCATATTTTTCTGTTCATCAGTTCAGCATGAGCACAGTAAAATCAAAAGAACTTAAACTGAAAAGCAAAAAACACCAACAGTAACAGTAGTCATATTTAAAACATTATAATGATTTTTACTTTAAAAAGTATGTTATTACAGTCAAAAGTACATTCAGCTTCTTTAGTAAAGTTAGCCAGATGCAAGAGCAGGCCTTGGGCCTCATCTTCAGATGTAAATTCAGGAAGGGAAAATGCAGTGAACAAGCAACAATTCTCTTGGGAAGAGAGGGAAACTTGGCCCTCACAATACAATTTTCTCAATTAGGAAAAACAAACTGATAAAGACCCAAAAATTAGTGCAGTATTAATAACATGCATGAAAGAGGTTGTGCCATACAGTGGGAGTTTATCAGCTGACAGGTGGAAAAGGTTCCTTAGCTGACTGCCGGAAATCAGTTATAAAAGTAAAGAGTTCTTTCTGTGCTGTCTGTAAAACCAGGTTAACTGGTTAACATCACTTAGAAGGCATCACTTTCTCCAACCCTAAGACCTCAAAGGAGTAAGGGTTGCTGGCTAGCTGGTGATCTTGCTCTCACCAAGCAGGAGGAACATTAGATCATTTCAATTGTTAACATAAAGAAATGTACGGTCATTAAAGTACTTAATAATCTTAATTAAAATGGCCAATAGTATGTACCTTTACCACAATAAAAAATAAAGTTTGTGGTTTTAATTTTGTTAAGTTGCAATACAGTATCACCAGTATAAATGAGTAGATGTGTTGTTGTAGGGGTTTTTTTTTGAAGAGTTTTTCAGGTGGGTTTTTAGAAATAACCAACAATCCAACACTATCAGGCCAGTCATGAGGTTCTTTCTTTGGTGCTTGTTTTCACCCAGCAAGAATCCTAGTCGGGGAAAATAGTCCATGTTTTCAGTAGAACTTGCCTACCATTACTTTATTACGTTTTTAAAGACAACCTAAGCCAGCTTAAAATTACTGAACTTATTCAAAAGACGGTTTTCTTTGCTCAACTCTTAAATATCCATAAACAAGGTTAATGCTTATTTTAAAAATACTAGAAAGCTAAAACTTTCTTAAAACCAAGCAAATCTACTGTAAGAATCATATTAAACATCTGGAATTTTTTGCCCTTTAGAAGATGGGCCAAAATTTTGTCCCCAGTGCTGCATCTGAAAACGACCTGCTTCCTGACATTATCAGAATACTTGCTTTCTGTTCTTTGTTTTATTGTTGCACTTTGTCAACAGGATTAAAGCCAGGCAGGATTTAAAGATTCATACCTGTATAACTTGTAAGACTGTGCATTCCACAAAACGACAGTTCCGTCAGCGGCCCCTGATGCCAAGTAAGTGGAGTCTGGGGAAAACCGGCACACCCTCACAGGGCTGCCACCAGGCTGCTCCATCACTGCCAAAGTCTGTCCACTGTGAGCACTCCACAGGACAGTGGTACCGTCTGTCGAACATGATGCCAAAACGTGTCCTGAAGGGGAGAAACAGCAGCAATGGACGGCATAGGTGTGAAACCTCAATGGAGAGTGTGGAAGTTCAGTAAAGTCACTTAAGGAGTACAGGCGAATAGTTTTGTCCAAGGAACAAGTAGCCAGGAGGGAAGAAGAGAAGGCACAGCAGTTGACATCGTCGCCGTGATCAGCTAATGAGTGAATTAGTTTCACCATGCTCTTTATGAAAAATCACACAGCCTGCAATTTTTAATGAGGTAAAGGTTATATGCCATCCTAGAGATCAAATTAATGCAACTCAAGTAAAAGAGCCAAAATTAATCCAAGAATTGGCTCATGAAAATGCCTACATTAGTATTTTTGAAAGACAATTTATTGTGTGGGATAATGTGGGGAGACAACAAAACATAAGACTATCACCTCTGATAATCACAGCCACCATTGGCCAAAAACCTCTACACACCTCACAAAGCTTAGCAAAAACTTCAAAGTGATCCAATGCTGAACGTTCTCCTTTGAAACCTTTCTCATAACTGACTCTCAACACAGCCTCATTTCTGATCTGCTAATCTCAATTCCAAACAAATTTCTCCTTTAACTGTGTCAGCTGCTCCTTCCACAGGAGAACCAAGGTTATTCACTCTGCTTTAAGACAGGCCAAATGATTTATCTATGGGGAAAACAAACTGGCAAGTCTCATTCAAAAGATGGCTGTGCTGAAAACTCTCTTGTCATGGTTTGCCCACAGAATAGGAAAGATTTGAGGTGAGGAAACCAAAATGCCAAGAAAACAGACTTGGCCAGACCATATCTGACAAACAAAATTCACAAACTTCAAAATAAAATCTAAATTCCTTCCTATAGCTCACAGATCATATGGTCTTCTTTTTCTTTTTTTAAAATTTCAGCAATATCTGTAGATTTCATTTTACAAATCTTTTGCCTTCCTGGTTTATTCCTATGTAATTTTAAAATTTACTTTTTAAAATTATCAAAGTTACAGGCTTCATGATGGCATTTTCATTCAGTTTGTCCCCTCCGCAACCTTGGGCTGCTTCCCTCTGGTCCCTGTCCTCTCCGAAATAACTTCCCTTCTGTCTTCACGTCACATATATTCTATTATCCTCTTCTCACCCCCACCCAAGATCTTTTTCCCCCCGTCATGGTCTCCTTTCTAATTTCATGACTTAGACACACACACACACACACACACACACACACACACACACACTGCATACGTAAGAATTAAGAGCTAGGATCCTATCCTTGACGCTTTAGTTTTGTGTGTTTAAGTTGGAGGACCCACAGAAGCCAGGAAACTAGAAAGAGACGCAGGTGATAAGGACACTATGAGGAAGGAGAGCTAGAACATATATAAGATGAAAGTAGAGATGGAGAAATTCTGGGGCAGCAAGGTTTAAGCAGGGAGGGGCTGGGGGAGAAAAGGGAGGAGTTGGGTTAACAGAAATGAAGAGTTTATTAAAAGCCTTATGGAAACCTACTATCTTGTAACCCAATTAAAAAATATAAAAGAAACTTTTGAAAGGAGATCCCCTGCACGGCTAGATAATACTGCTTCTAAAGTGAGTTACTTAAAAAAAAAATAGGTAAATCTCAGTGCCAGATGTAGGATAACTCCTTATGAACTGTTAGGAAGTCCCAGAGGCCCCCAAATCAGTGCAGTTCTTGCCATTTCTCTTGATCATTCACCAGAACTTGATGATAAGTAAACATCACATGGTTTGGTTGTAAGATTCAGAGAAATCAAACTGAAACTGACCTGGAAACTTCCTCCCTGCTGGCTAGCTTTCCAAAGTGCCAGAAGGTGCTAGCCAGGCTCCTGGTATAGAAAAGGCCTGAAGAAACCCATCCAGCTGTTGAACCCTACAAACTACAATCCCCACCTGCCAGGCAAGCTGTGTCCACCTGTGCATTGATGGCATGACTGTTCCGAGAGCAATCAACCACTCTAATTAGATTTGTGGCCTGCTCCACCACAGAAGGTACTGCAAACCCTGTCAATAACCCATGTCTGGGGAGGTCATAGGTCCTTGGGGGGACCTTACTACTGTTGTTTAGCTAAACTGACATAGCATCAAACTGCTTTCTAAACATCTGTGTTTATACCTATAGACAAATGCTACTCTCCATCTTAGAGAAGCCTCTCTTTGCAGTAAACAATGGTGAATGCAAAGTCTCATCACTGCTCAAGATGCTGAAAGCAAAGGTTGAGGAATCAGCCCCGTTAAGGTATAAACAGGATGTTTACACCACCACCTCTAAGGCTTAGGAAACACTGAAGGGAGGAGAAAGAATGTAGGAGCTGGAAGAGAGGAAGAAGGGCTTGGGAATTCCATCCACTAGACATGACACATGCAATCATAAACTCACAGCAACTGTGGTTACTTGCACTGGGTCTACACAAGACTGGCTCTATCAAATCATGGATCTGGGAGGAACTCCTGGGGCTCTATCCCTTACTGCTTTACTACTGGCTACTAATAGATTTTGAGAGAGAGAAAGCCTTTGTCTTCAGCTGAATGCCATTGGTAATCCCACCATGCTCAAATGAATAGTTCTTTTTATATTTAGTTGTTTTTTTTTTTAAATTTTATGTGTATGCATGTATTGCCTGCATGTATGTAAGTGCATCCATGCTGTGCAATGCCTGTGGAGGTCAGAAGGTGTCTGATCCCCTGGAACAGGAGTCACAACAGTAGTTAGCCACTAAGTGGGTGCTGGGATTTGAACCTGGGTTAACAGCTGAGTCATCTCTCCAGTCCCTCAAACGAATAGTTCTAAACCCATGCCCTGGTAAAACACAGTGGATCACAAAAAAACAGAAAGACATGAAGGTAGGAAAGAAAACGGGGGGGGGGGGGGTAGTAAGAAGTAGGTGTAAAAGTAATCAGAATGCATTATATACATGTATGAAAATTTCAAAGAACAAATTTTAATTATAAAAAATTCTAGTAGGATCTACACGATAGAAAATGCTTAGCATTTGTCTGAGTCTGGTTTATTTCATTTAACATAACAGTTTCTAGTTTCAACTACTCCACTGCAAATGTCATGATTTCATTTTTCTTTATGGCTGAATAAAATTTCACTGTGTACATGTACCTTTTTTAAACCATTCATCTGGTAATGGACATCTAGGCTGGTTCCATTTCTTATAATATGCAGCAGTACACACGGATGTGCCAGTATCTCTGTAGTTGGACTTGATCCTTTGGGTACATACGGTATTGTATAACTTGGTGGTATCTTAGTCTCCTAAGAAACCTCTATATTGATTTCAGTTTGCACTCCTATTAATCATGAATAAGAGTTTCTCTCACCCCATATCTTTGCCAGTATTTGTCACTTGCTTTCTTGATGATAGCCATTCTGACAGGGGTGAAATAGAATCTCAAAGTAGTTTCAATGATGGCTCAATGATGGCTAAAGATAATGAACACTTTAAAAAATAATTATTGGCCACTTGTATTTTTCTTTAGAGAACTGTCTATTCAGTTCGCTGGGCCATTTGTTGATTGGAAGATTTTGGTGTTTTATGTATGTTTCATTCTTGCAATTTTTTATATATTCTAGATATTAACCCTCTACTTTATACCTGGCAAAAGTTTTCTCCCATTCTACAACCTGTCTCTTCTCCCCATGGATAGTTTTCTTTACTGTGCAGAGCTTTTTAATTTCGTATAATCCTGTTAGTCAATTCTCAGGGTTATTTCCTGTGACTTTTTTTTCCCCACAAATGTTCATGCCCATGCCTATTACTTGAAAGTGTTTCCTATGTTTTTCTCTAGCAGATTGGACAGTTCATATCTTTAATCCTGAATTCTGTGCAGGGTGAAAGATAAGGGATCTAATTTCACTCTCCGACATGTAGAGGTTCTTGTTTGCCTCTGACTCAAACTGCAACTACTTCTCTTTCCAGAGACCCTGGCTAAACCTATTCCGATCTTCCATCTTCAAAAAGCAGGGTTTTGTTCAGGTTTTATTTTGTTTTGAGCTAAACTACTCAATACTGTGCTCTCTGCTCTTCGGATCTATTTCAGACCTCAATTTCAACGCCTCTCCTCACAGAGGTTTTACCCTAGTCATTTTTTTAAGACAGGGTCAAGCCTCAAACTCAGGGTCCTCTGTCTCGGCTTCTCAGCCTCTGGAGCACTGAGATGATGGATGTGTCCCCAGAACCAGCTGCTAAGTAGCCACTCCGCAGGCCAATCCAGCATATCATCCTATTTCTGTTCTCAATGCAGCAACTATTTGAATATTTGTCTCCTCTGACAAGAAGGTAAATTCCCAAAGAGTAGGCATTTCATCCACCTTGCTCATATCTGTAACCACAGCATTTGAAACAGTGCCAGGTATCTGAGGTGCTCAAATAAAATTTTGTCGAATAATTTATTTTTCCAAATGCAGTTGAGTTTGCTTATAAATATTACATATGGTACGTATCATGAAAATAGAAAGTAAAACTATCAATACAAAAATCTAGCAGTGGAAAAAATGAATAATTTAAAAACAACAATGCTAGACATAGGGGCAGACCTGTAACACCAGCCCTGGGGAGGGAGTAACAGGAGGATCAGGAGTTCAAGGACATCCTCAGCTACAGAGTTCAGGCCACTCTAACCAGCATATCAATGATGACTCTATAATCATCCCCAAAGGGACAGGTATAACCTTGACTTGGAAAATACATAATCACTTGTCTACATCTAATTTTTTTAAAAGAGAAAGAAAACCCAGATAACTTTTCTCATCTTCATCTCAAAAGTTCAGCAGTTTTTAAAAATAAAGTCTTAAAAAATTAACAGGAAAAATTCGAGCAGGTTACCTGTCTCCTGAATTACCGCATGAAAACAAGCTCAGGTGGTGTTCCTGGAGAAGTTCCAAATCCCGGAAGAGCGACTGCACTCGGGAGATCTTCCGAAAGAGCCTGGCTTCCTGCAGGCGGAGGGCGCGGGCCAGCGGGTTCTGCACAGCCTCCACCAGCCCGGCCCTCTCCCGCGCCGCGCCGCAGCCCGAGTTCTCAGCTGCAGGCCGAGCTCCCGCGAGCACCGTCGCCTCCCCCCCGCCGCGAGCCCCGCGAGCCAGAGCCACTTACTTCCCCCGAGCGGGCCCGTGAGCTCCCGGCCTCCGGTGGGCCCGGGAACAGCCCCGCCGCCTCGCCCCTCCCGGCCCCTGCCCCTGCGGCCCCGGGCGGCCTGTGCGCGCACAGCCGGATTCCCGAGCGCCGCGAAGACGCCGCAGGGCGGGGAAGCGCAGTGGGCACAACCTCGCTCAGCGGAGGGCCGGAGCACTAGAGTCGCCCGCAGACGCGCCAGGCGGGTCACGTGGGCGCAGGACTCAAGCCAGCGGCTCTCCGCCTAGCTCGCACTCAGGCCCCGCCCACGAGGCGGGCTGCACCGCCCACCGCGCATGCCCATCTAACTAGGCTGTTCGGTTCTGCTGGGGCTTCCGCCTGTGAGTTAGGAAGGCCCTTCAATTACAGTTCTCAGAGGCCCCACAGTCTAATAAAAGACTAAGGTGGGGGCGTGGCATCAGCTTGTGTCCCAGTTTAACTTAATTCTTTCGGTTTCTGAGACAGTTCCCGTAGCCCCAGCTGACCTGGAACTCACTGTGTAGACCAGCCAGTCTCCCGTCTCCACCTCCAGAGTGCTGGATTAAAGGCGTGGGCCACCGTGGCCCGCCCAGTTTAAATTGTTTTGAACTCTATTGTACAGCATTTCTCCAGCTTACTGTGACCTGGTTTTGGGAACCCGACCAGGACTTGGCTCTTTTTTGTTGAGGCTCTGCAGGTGGTGGTGTGTGCTGAGCGCTCACCCAAAGCTCTTCCCTACGCAGGGGGCGGGCGGAGGGGGGGGGTCTCCTCACCAGGGAGGTCCACGCGGGTGTCCTTGTGTCCGAAAGCCTGAGTGTATTTATCTCTTCAGTCTTTTCCAGAGTGTACGGTTAGCTCCAGGGTAGACTATGGCTTCCTTGTTTAATTGCTACACAGTTGCTTTCTGGAAGGTACATTTTGAGATAAAAAGTTCTAAGCGCGCTGCCTCTTAACGCACCACATAGGGGTGGATTACATTCAGACGAGTTTCTTTAATAAGGAAACATTAAAAACATCACCTCCAAGAACAAAAGTTATACATTTAGAGAATAATAACCTATAGCTGACATATAAGGATGAAATCGAGATAGTTGGAAATTGTAATCAAAGACCAAAGGAAACAAAAATTCATAATTTTGTGAAACTCAAGGATTTCTAAGTTATCAGTGTACACCATAATTTGATAATTTGAACACCCAAAGTACTACCAAAGGAGGGTTTTTCAAAACAAGTTTTTGATTGTATGAGCAGTGGAACTGTCTGTAGATGGAAAATGAGAAGCTGAAAGTCGCATCCCCCAAACATAGCCCACTTTGACAATACTTCTCTGTTAACCCAAAGAAAATAGGTCCTCTGACATGAAATGTCCTCTGTCATTTCATTCATGAAAATGTCAGTAACTAGGTATAAAGTCCAATAAACTGCCATTTTAAACTTAAACAGATTCTGAATATTTCCATGTCTAAAATTTCATTAGGTTTACTATTTTTTTGCATAACAGTCCACATGGAAATATAATCTATTGAACATTTTCCCTGTTGCTTGATGGTGGTTTCAACATTTCTTCTCATGGTGTTATTTGCCTATTGCCTTTTCAGGGAGGTGTGGTTTATATTTATGCTCTCAGTGATGGTGTATAGTAGAACCTGCCTTTCCACATTCTTGCCAGACTTGAATATTTTCATTTCCATCTCTTTGCTTCCTGGCTATGGATGCAATGTAATGGGTCACCTCAAACTGCTGCTGCCACACCTTCCCCTCTAGGATAGACTGTAACCCTGCAACTGTAAGCTAGAATAAACCCTTTCTTAAGTTGCTCTTGTCAGATATTCTGTCACCTCAAAGAGATGAATAATTGATACACCTTGCCTTACATACACCAGTTGTTTTTAACACAGTGATCTCAAAGGCTGTGGGAAGTAGCTGGTCTCTTGTCTAAAAGTTTGCAGTTTGGGGGAGCTAGAGAGGTGGCTCAGGGATTAAGAGCACTGACTGCTCTTGCAAAGGATCCAAGTTCAATTTCCAGCACCCACATAGTGGCTAACAACTGTCCATAACTCCAGTTCCAGGGAATCTGACACCCTCTTCTGACCTCTTCGGGTATTGCAGGACATGGGTGCACTTAAATATATGCAGGCAATACATTCATACATACATAAAAATAATAACTAAAACATTTAAAAGTTTGCAGTCTCTAAGATGTTCTAAAATATCTTGCCAATAATAGGAATGCTTTATAAAGATAAGTTTACAGAACTGGGCTCTCTGCTCCTCCCCATTGGACAGACAGCCACTTCTCCTGTCATTCCAACCATAGATAGCTTCTGTCAAATTAATGTACCTAAGAGGCTAGGTTCATTAATTTGACAGAAGCTATCTATTGTTTGATAGTTTAACAACCAGTTAATTAGGCAAGGCCCACTCATTGGACCCAGGAGGAGGACTAGATGTCTTGTCAGGCCTGGAAACATGGTAGTCAGTCACTGATTCCAATCAAACCAGCAATGGAACCAGCACCTGTTGGCCTCTCTCTCCTTTCAGCACAAGCATCAGGGTGCAGAAGAGGGAACTGGGAGGAAGTCTCAGATGTTAGAATGGACTGTGGTCTGGACCTGTTGGAAAGATTGGAGTTACTTTAAGAGACACTGATCAGTAATTTTTCAGAATAGGGTCCCTTAGTCTAGGTAGTAGGGGAGGCAGCCTTCTGAACATAACCTTATAAGAGGTGAAACCCATCTTACAGGGAATATGTCTAACCTGGAAGAGGACCAGGGGCAGGAAGATTAATTTAGGATTATCTGAGCCAATTAACAGAGTCAGCCCAAACCTAGGAATTATTTCACATAGGAGGCTTTTTAATCATTGTGAGGAAAGCCCTCCATCCAATCAGAGAATGTATCCATAACTACCAGAAAGTAGTTCAGTCAGTTTGGTGGCACCCAGGTGGGTCATCTAATGAAGCTGGTTCACAAGGAGGCATCCAAGGGCTGTAGGAAGGATGATTCTGAAGTATGGCAGGGTACATCATCCATGGGGACCTTCTTTATTTCTTGTGAGTGGGAGTGGCTCAACAGGGAGTCTGGTAGCCTGATGGGCTACTTGGCCTTTTGTCATGGAAGTGTCAGAGTCCTCTTTCCTTGTAGATCATGGTGTGGACATGAAAGGGTGGAAAGGCACATCTGCTATCTATGGGGATGTTCACCCTTTTATCCTTTTCCCGGTGTGCTGGATAGCTTTAGTGTCAACTTGACACACCTGGGTTGAGGGAGCCTCAGTTGGGGAATTGCCTCTATTGGACTGGCCTGTGACCATGTCTGAGGGGCATCTTCTTGATGAGTGATGAGTGATGAGGGAGGGCCCAGCCCACGGTGGGTGGTGCCACCCCGGGCAAGTGGGCCTGTGTTGCATAAGAAAGCAGGCTGAGTAAGGGCCAGGGGAGCAAGCCAGTAAGCAGCGTTCCTCCATGGTCTGTGCTCCAGCTCCTGCTTCCAGGTTCCTGCCCTGAGTTCCTACCTTGGGCTCCCTGATGAACTATGACCTGGGAGATGTAAACTGAATAAACCCTTTCCTCCCCAAGTTGGTATTGGTCAGAGTATTTTATCACAGCAATGAAGAACAAACTAGGACACCCGGCATGAGACTGGGTGAGGGTGATTAGTTCAGCCTTGTATGGAGGTGCCCTAGGGCAAGGCTTGGGCCCAGATGGCATCCTGTTAGGTGGCCATAGTTGCTCCATCCTTCCAGATCCCCTCTGTTATGAAACTGCTTCCATCCATGAACAAGTTGGTGTCTGCCTTAGGTAATGTGTATCTTGGAGATGTGGGTGACTGGCCTGGGAGAGGTCCAGCAGATCCTCATAGTCATGTTGGGGCACCTCTGGGTCATCATCAGGCATTGGTATTGCAGGGTTGAGGTCCTGAATGACTGAGAAGGTGAGATGGAGCTGACCAAGGAGCAGACTCTGGCACTGAGTGATGAGGGCATTTGACATCCAGCAGTCATTTGCTCCCTGGAGGAAGGTGTCCAATGAATGGGGGCCTGTTAAGGCTAAGTCTTGGCCCAGGTGAGCTTGTCAGCCTCTTTTACCAGTAGAACCAGTAGCCTTTATGGCTTGTAGACAGGAGGGCCATCCTGAAGCTACTGGTTCTAGGTACTTGGATAATTATGTTATAGGCCTTTGCCATGGTCCCAAAGTCTGAGTAAGCACACCTTTTTGCAATCCCCTGGGATTCATGAACGAAAAGGTGGACATCAGGCAAGACCAGACCTGGGGCTTAGGTTAGGACCATGCCCATTCCTTTATCTCTGTTCATTTTAAAGACTGGTCCCCAGCCATGGCTGAGTAAAGGGGCCTTGCTATTGGCCAAGCCTGGGATCCAAAGTTGGGAATATCCCACTGCCCTCAGGAATTCAAGTATGGTTTTCAAAGTTTGGAGTATAGGGATCTGAAGAACGGCTTCCATCCCACCTGTAGCAAGGTCCTCTTATCTCCAGAGAGTTTGTACCCCAAGTAGGAGACTTCCATCTGGCAAAGTTGAGCTTTCTTCATGTAGACACGGTATCTCAGGGCTGAAAGCAGCTGGAGCAGGTCTCGGGTATGTCACAAGTAGGTGGCTGGGTGAGCAGCAGCTAAGAGAAGATCATCTATATAGTGGAATAGTGTTGAATCAGGGTGAGAGGCTCTAAAGCTTCTCAAGTCCTTTTGAAGGGCTTCCCTGAGCACTATGGGGGAATTTTGAACAAAGGCCAGATTTAGAGCTTGAGGGTTCTCTGGAGCCAGAAGATCAAAGGACTCCTTATGCCTCTGAAGAACTTGGGTGGGTGTGGATGGGCTTTGGGCTGGCCCCCTGATTCCTGCTGGAAGAGTTCAG